CTGCTGTAACACTCATTGTATGCAGGGCCCAAAATGGCCATGGAAAACATTACGCCTTATCAGGGGCACTTTCTGAAGCAGCCTTTCCTGCTGGCTTCATTTGTGTAAGCCAGGAGAAGGATTGAAGCACTCAGCCAACAACCACCTTGCCAGCTCTAATTCACTGTCTAATCACAAGAAGAAAGTTGTTAGAAAAGCAGCAGAGGTGTGTCATGATGCATACAAGCACAGTACTCTGAATACACTGTGCAGCCGCTTAGCCTATGACTTTTGCTCTTAAGACCATTGTAGCTCTAATCATAGGGGAATTGCTAAGTTTATTTCACAATCATGGGGCCTCTCAGAAGTGAGAAATGCTATTTATAAAAAGGAAAGATCAATTCTGGGGTCTGTCAGTCTTGACTGAAGCCAGACAAGTTATTTTGGATTTATACTGGGGAAACTGGTCCAAAAATACATGTCCACTGTCCAAGCAAAAGTCAAATCAGTAATTAAAAGATGATGAAAATAAGTGACTTTTTACTTCCTGATTTTCTTAACATGAATCAACTACAAAGAGAGAGAACAATCTGAGACTACAAGGGAGAAACAAGAATTGAAACAAACAACTTTTCATGCATGTATCCATGCTTCTCTTTGTGACAAATGAAAATGTTCCTTCTAGAGTGAAGTGAGAGCACCAAAAGCCAAATTCTTCCTTGATCACACTTATATGGGTCCCTTATCTAAGGACCTGTGGGCAGATTTGGGAGCCAGAACTTTTTGAAGGATTGAAAGAAGTCCATATTTGTTCTTTTTCTTATTCAACACTGTGTTTGAGAAAGGCTAGAATACTTTAATTTTAATATAATTAGGCAATCTGTTTCTGCTGCTAGCACCTGTGTTTTCAAACTTAGAAACACTTCGATCAGGAATTGTGCTAAAGTAGGATTAAAAAAAAACCCCAAATAAACAAGAGAAGTGCTACTACAAATCACAAGAAATACAGCTTGTGTGTCAATTTATCACGGCACAAAATGGCAAGTCAACCACCAGACACATTGATAAACGGAATGTACCCTATATTCATCTCCTTAATGGGACATTAATGTCTTGGATTTGCCACGCACACCAAAACACTGAATCCTACCTCGGCCTTTCTTAATTGCCCAAGAAGATGTTAATTTATGGACTTGGCCATAATGACTGGGAACAAATTTGTTCAATCAATGTTATGCTTTAATTGAAATTTGTAGCTTAACAAGAAAAATCATGAAATTAAATGTTCAGACAGTTATATCTTTAAAACAGAACATAGATGTCAGGTTCTATTACCAGTCTACTTTCCAGATGTCTTTTAGGGGTTCATTTTTCACACTGTGTGTGTTAGATACTGAGGCAAATCCTATGAAGAAATAACAGGATTTGTGGGCAAATCTCAACTGCTGCTGGGATAATTTTCTCTTTGATGTTCCTACATCAATATTCTAGACATGCATAGCATCAGTCCCTGACTTTTATTAATGTTAATTTTTATCAGCGTATTTGGGAGAAGGAGAATCTAATAATGCAGAGCGACTCCACCATAAAGTCTACCCCAGTCTAGAGCTGCAATATCTTTAGTTTTTTTTCAACCCAAAGTCCTTCTGAGAGGGGAAAATAAGCAACAGTGACCATTCCTGTGAAAAGATAGCCTTCAGCTCCCACTTAAAACAAGAGGAACACATTGTACATAAAGGGTATCGCACAGGAGGTCATCAACATGATAGAGACTTGGGTAATAAATAAGAATTCCCATTGCTACCTCCTACAGAAAAGTATTTGTTCAGTCAACTTCTGAGTCACTCTGCCCTCAGATTTGTCCTCATGTCTTCCAATATACTGTTGAGCTGGCATGCAAATTTATCAGTCACCTATGAACCCTGCTGAGAACGGGGTTATGAGGAATGCTTACCTCTGAGAACTGCAGCCTTCCAAAATCACTTGGTGGACTAGCAATTTTAAACACTTTCTTCGGCATCACCCAAGTTTCCAAAGTTTCTAGTTTACTGACAGCCAGATTGGTTGCATGATGTTTGATTAGGAAGCCCTGAAAACGGTCAGCAAGGAAGTAGAGATGGACAGAAACTGGATGGCCCATAGGATAATACCTGTAAAACATGTAGTATACACAGGTGGCATCACTTAGGAAAAAGAGAGACATGGAATTACCATTCACTTGAAACTAGTGGCTTAAAAATTTGATTCAGTTAAGAAATTTAGTATTACTTCATTAAGAAACTTTAAATATGTTCCTTCCTCATTATCAATTATTCTCAGGTTGTTCTTATCATTCCAAAACATTAAAATTTTTACTAAGAATATGCTAATTTGAAAGACATTCACAATTAAACCTCTAGAGTGTCTCTACATGCCAGAAATCTCCTATTAACCTTTTTCTGCCTAAGAAATCCTACACGGAGACATATTCTACATGAAGGTAAGGAGTCCAAACTGCAGAGTTCAGATCTACATACAGACACTTCTTGTATTAAGGAGTACTTAATTTTGAGGTCCCAATTCAAATGAAGGCCATGCCTAAAACTCCATTGAAAACTAATTTAAATAGGGAAGCGTATAAATGTGACCCAGTTACCGTGCCCCAAGTCTTGAAACCATCCGTCTAACTGCCCTAATTAGAGTGGGGTACTATAGCCTCTCGACCCCACGCTTTTGCACACAGCTGTCAGAGCTCCCCAAAACCTTTCTATTTCAGAAACTTTCCTCTTCTGAGAAGAAACTCTGAATTCTGTGAACACCATTTTGCTTTAAATAAGATGCCACAAAAGTAGTGTTCTCAACAGTTACAAAACACTACAGCCTAGCTGTTTATTTCTAATCACCGCTCTGTTCTGAATAGGAAGCCTTTCTCTTTAAAGACACAACTGGATTGAGTTGCAGAGAGAATCTGCCCCTTCTTGTCCCTGATCCTGTAAAGTTACTTGCATGTGCTTAATCTCATGCGGTAGGAGTAGTTCTGATGCTTTCCTTGGCAGTACTCACACTGGCTCCAGTTAAACACTCAAATAACACTTTGCAGGACTAGGGCCTTTTTTTTGCCTCATGGAGAACTGAGAAGTGTGAAGGAAAAGCTTTGTGCAATATAGTGCCAGGGAGGAAAGTTTTCCAGTCCATCAGAGAGAAATGGCGGTTAGGCAGTTTTGCCAGTTTACAGTTATTCTAGTGAAAGTTTGGCAGCATAAAAGTTCACTGGTAACTCAATTACTTTCAGAAAATTTCTAACCCTTGATACTTCAGCCAGGCTTTGTTACCAATGTCCAAGTATAACGATTGTTATTGTAAGCAATAACGTCAAACAGACTAACTTTGTCCTACCTACCTGTGAACACTGAAATGTAGGACTGGACAGTAAAGCATAAAATAGGTTTGCGGTCTCTGTGTCCCATTCATATTTGCTGTCTGTGTTTTATGCCTTTAGCATCATCTTAACCAAGTGCCTCTCATTGCTACAATAACAGTACGATAGTTCCATTTACAAAGACTTTATATTGGTCGTGTGGAACCAGTCCTTAGCTTTATTTTCACATAGCATAAATTAAGAATACAAATTCAATGCAAATCCCTGTTTGTCAACTGACAAGGATCTTGCGCTTCTCAGAGATTTTCCTGCTGCCAGCTCCAGCCTCTCTCTCAAATTATTCAGTGATCAAACCAGTGTCAAGGGCCTTGTCATAAAACCACCTTGTAGCATGCAGCAATTGGTATGTTTTTATCAAGACATCCACAGAGTGGGAATGTAACAGGGTGTTGCAAATACGAGTAGAGGCGCAGCACTGAACACAACTCAGAAAAGGCCATATTTTATACATTGGTTTTGTCAGGGGATACTGGAAAGAAGTTGTTGATGCATAGTTGAACAAAATGCCTTTCTCCTTACAGAAGGGCTTGAGTTGCTTTTGCCAGACACTATGTCCATCTTTCCATTTATTTAAAAAACATTAACAAGAAGGATTTGTAGAGTTTAGTTACTCTTGTCAAATAATGCTCATAGTCATAGGTTTAAACTGGGGTGGGCAGAATGCGGCCTGTGGGCCAGATGTGGCCCGCCACGCCATTGTATCTGGTCCATGGGGTCCGTAAAAAATTTAGAAAATTAATATTTATCTGCCCCTGGCTGCCTGTCATGCGGCCCTCAACGGCTTGCCAAAACTCAGTAAGCAGCCCTCCACCTGACATAATTGCCCATCCCTGTTTAAACATATGGCTAACTGAATATTTTATCCTCTGAATGGTTTTCTTAACAATACTATAAAGGGTACAATTATGGCTCTAATCAGGATAACTGGACATTTTTTCAGTGCTGTAATTAATTGTGAAGCAAGGAAGTGACAGACACGGTGTAAACCTCCTAGTATTATATCTGCCTATGAAAACTTGTTTGCTAAAACCTGACTCCCTGTGATGATGATGTATGGCAGGGAGCTAGGGCTGAAGACAGGTGACTAAGAACAATTGCATTATATGAAACCTATAGCAGCAAGGGTTGAAATTTCTAGAGCCTGAGAAGTGAGCACAGGAAGACAGACTACAAACAGGCTGACTCCAACGGAGTCTGCTACAAGACAACAAACAAAGCACGGGAGCCAACGTAAGTGACAATCCAGCTTCTGTTCTGAATTCTACCGACCTTCCATTTTATGTGTGTCGAAGCAAATATTTATAATATCCCTGGAACACTCTGACTAAATTGTCCCTTGGCAGCAACTGGTAAAAATATCACGGGGTGGAGAGAGAAATTAAATCCCAACTCTCTAAGATGTTGATGCATGATACGACCTAAATTCAACAACAGTCGAAAGAGGCATGTCTTTGAAGCAGTGGGCTACAACTTGTTAGTAGTCTCCAAAGCAACTTCCCTTACAGAAATGTCCTGTGCATCAACTGGTGGCAGTATGGGATTGACTGAGTGAGATCTTGTGCTGCAAAGCTTTCTTTCTGCTGCCTGAAGCAGTGTCAAATGAACTAGGGTGGTGACTGCAGTATCTGCTGACTTCATGCAGTTGCAAGCCCTAGAGCAAAAGTGGTTCTGCAGAGAAACATAAACCTAGGCCTATTACCTCTGCTGCTGCCTTGGAGACTCTCAAAATTATGAGGGGGAGGGAGAGGGAGAGGAAGTCAAAGACAGAAAGCAACTGTAAAGAATGGGATGGGATATGCCTTATAAAATTAAAATTGGACAGGACTTCTAGTTTGTGGCTCTGACCAGATATTCCTAGCCACAAGGGGGTTAGCCAAAGTAGCCAAGTGCAGTTTCCTTTGGACATCATAGACTTTTTGCCTTAACTTGCTTCATAGACTCTCTGTGTGTTGTAAAACAGCTATGTTTCATCCCAAAGGAGCACTGTTTCAGTGGTGGGTAAAATGATTCCCCTGTGTGTGGTCTGTGTTTAAGCCTGCAAATCACCTTCAGCTCCTTTTCAATGAAAGACACTATATAAATGCAATCCATCATTCATATAAATCATTGCTACAATGCTGGCAAAAGGGAGAAGAAAAATAATTGTTACATTGTTTTATTACTAGCAACATGTTGCTTCCATCCCCTCTTCTGGTTTTGTCGCTACATGCCAAATAACCTTAGAATTTTTTTTAGATTTGTCCCTACTTCAAATAAGAGATGATGTTCTTCAGTGATTATTTATATCAAAGTGTTATGGATTTTTTACTGTTTTCGGTAACTTTTATTGGAGTGGTGTAATGGAAATCTGGCTTATAAATAATCAGAGTTTTCCAAATGGGACTATACTCAGCCATTTTGTGCTAGGAAAGTCACAAAGAACTGAGTTCCTACTGAAGAACACAGGACACATAAAACTGCAAGGAATGTATTTAGCAGTCACAAAGTTAGATTGTAAGCATTCATCTGTTAGGATTAAAAGACAGACAGGTAAAAATGCAGGAGGAGGTATTTTTTAAAGTAGAGGGAGAATTCTTGTCTATCAGGGAAAGCTTTGAAGGCCTGTTCTGAAAATAAACCCTTTCACATTATGTACGCATGGAAGACAAAACAAGTATGTTAACTTTGCTTTGAAATGAATGAAAGCAAGATTTCTGTTTAATCGTAAAATAAAAATCCTTAAAATATTAATTGAAAGGGATTTTATTTACTAGGTTTGTGGAATAGAAAGGGTAACATCATTAGTTGCTACATTTTACATCACTGACTGCTTTTTTGGCATAGAAAGCTTCAGTAACCTGTCCAGGAGACTTGAGTGACCTGACCTGACTTCATGGTTCTGGTTTTCCAGATGGACAAAGAAGACCATTAACATTCTTGGAAATATGTATGACTTATCACAGTTGACTGGGCCTGTGTTATGAATATGCACTTTACCCTATATGACAAAATGAGTGAAATACCTGCAGTGAAGGCGCTGTATACACTATTGTAAAGCAGCACAACCACTCACATCATACATACCAACAGTTTCCAATATGAGGATCTGACCCCAAGCTCATTGAAATCAATGGGTATCAGGCCCAACTGAGAATCTTAAGAATCCTGCTTCCATTTATACAAAAGAAAAAAGATTCAAACTAACCGGCAGCTGTTGTCTCCATCAGTGTGAAAGGAAGTCTCAGCTCTCCTTAGGCCCAAGCGGGAAAATGAGTGGTACATGGTCAGTGTAATGTCACTGATGCTGTGAATTCCATCCGGCTCATCATACACGTTCTCCCAGTATGACCTGAGGCCTGGTGTGCCAGATGGATAGTTGCCATACAAATAATAATCCAATTGGCCAATTATTTCTTGATTCACCACAGCTTCAAATTTGCGGGCAAAGAACGTTGGCCTGGCAGTCTGCTGTGTTGACAATAAAAAAAGAAAAGATTTATGAGTAAGTTTTCCATTTCCAGTCACAGCACTGTTGTCCTAAGCAACAGGTTGGCATTTAGGACATGAGCATTTCCCTATGGACTACAACAAATTAAACAGTGATGCTGGATTAATGCTCATATCAAAGCATATGTTTTTTCTCTGTCCAGATTGGTAGGTTCCTGAAAACAAAAGGAAAACCCCTCCGACTCCTCACTAGTGACTTTTGTGCAACTGTCAGGGGCTGGAACTTAATGATTCTTTGGTTTTATTGCTCAAAGAAGTGCCCTTGGTAGATCTTAGGGAAGATGTAATGCCAGCTCTGAAGAGTTTATAATCTAAGTAAAAGCAGGACATGACAGACAAGGATTTGAAGTAAATGGGGGAAGGGTATGGTGAAAAGGCTAAAACTTCAGCAACGACTATTTAATTTTGTTTTCTTTAGGGCCAAGTAATAGCAGACAGAGAAACTCTGAATACAGTATATACAGATGATGCAGTGAAGCAGAAATTTGCCAACAATACTGAGAAATACATTGTTAACTCTTTATATAGAGATAGTTGAACATATTCGAGCTACCACTCACTTAGGACCTGGTACATAATTTTGTTAAATGGTCCACAGTGTTTCCTTTCAAACGTATGTCCATATTAATGGGTTTCAGGAAGGGCTGTGATGTGAACCAGTGAGCAGGGCACTGGACAAAGAGTCATGATGTCAATGAGATGGTGTCATTGATCTGCCATTGAAATCTTTTATCCTCTGGGTAAGTCACTTCACCTCCCAGTGAGATTGTTCCTTCATTTGACTTGTCAATTTAGAGTTTACATCCTTTGGAAAAGAGGCTATTTCCTATTGTATGCACAAGACTCTGATTATGGCTGTAGCCTACAGGCATTATATTTACAGCAATAATGCTACAGAAAAATGGAAAAAGATTTTTTTTTTTATTTACAGTGCAAAATTAGAATGGTCACTCCCAGAACAATGTGTATGGGATAATCCCAGGCTGAGTGTAGTGTCTATCAGACTGGCAATCAGTGATGAGCACAGGGTTTTATAGGGGTTATCTGGATATCTTTGGGGAAAGTTTTACATACAACATTCACAGGAAGGTCAAAGCTAGTGACCCTTACCCTAAGAACAAAGTATTCTGCTTCCTCAAGGGGTATTTGGGTATGAGGCAGATAAAGAGAAGCGGAGTGAGGATGAACAGCCTACTGTTGATTAGTCTTGCTTTGTAGTCCATTTAGAACAGCAAGCTGCTTTGTCCAAAAATTTCACACTCTAGCATCTCCTCTTCATCTAATCAGAGTCGCCTGTGGCAGGGGGTCAGGCTAGATGATCTGTTTAGGTCCCTCCTGACCCTAGCTACTATGAAACTATGAAACTATGTAGAAAGCCTGTCGAGAAGACTGTAAAATTCATTGGGCCATATTCATCCCAAACATAACTCCGTGAGCAGCTAGGATTAATGTCTCTCTTATGGTAATGACAATGATAAACACCAATTTGTTATGAATTGCTGGCAAGACACAATTAACACCATGAAGCTTTGCACTCTAGAGGGCATAGGAAGGGCTATTTCATTCAGCAGGCCCTGTATTACATACAATAACACAAACATACAGAAACTGTCCATGAACTTTCCTTCTTTTTTGGTGAGACTCACTCTTCTGCAGAGTACAAAGTCCCTCCTAGGATGAAGAGACCTATGTCAGTGGTCCGCAGAGGGGTAAATTTCACTTTTTCAGAATGAGACTCTTTGCAATCAGAAATAAGCTGACAATTACCATCTAGGAAGCAGTATGATATTAGACAAAGGAAGAAGTGCCACAGAGATTTCCAGAACAGGTAATAGGTTTCAAGCACATTTACTGAAAGGCTTTCTATCAGCATGACACTTGTGTAGAAAAGAGTACATACCAAAAGTTTAGGGAACATGTTGCCATTGTATGAAACCCTAAATCAACAGGGCTGTTACAGCCTGCACAGCTCACATGTATCTTTTGCTCTCAACTTATTATTATAAACAACTTCTCTTCCCTGAATTTTCAAATGGCATTACTTTCAAATGAGAAAAAGATGCTAAATCTTTTTAGGGGATTAAATTAAAGTAAATTAGAGAGTCTATGCTTGTTATTAATTTAAGGTCTATAAAAGCTAATCAAATTAAAGGAAAAATAGATGGTTTAAGGGAAAAACATGGATTGAACTGTAATCACATTAGCGACAGAAGAGGATCCTTCTTGTACCTATTTGGGATCTACAGTACTGTACATGGGAAACAAGTCTAGTGGTCTCAAATCATTTTTGTGGGAAATGGAAGAATTTAGTTTGGAAATGTCCATGTCCTTTATAAATTACAAAGCCAATATTTCTTAACACACTTTTAAAATTCTAATTCAGTTTAATCCTGTCCTTTTGCAGCTGGTTGAGAAGACATTATAATATATCATCAGGGATCTGGGTTTCCTGTTTCCAGTGGAAAAACATGGATTTTCCCCTTTAAAGGAGAAAAATGCAGGTTTTCCCCTTGGAAGCAGGAAACGGTTGGTTTCTTGTTTTTGCAGACAGCTCTCCGCCAGCCGACAGAGATCCAGCCTACAACGAGGTGCTTGCAAAAGGGCAGGAAAGGCTTAGCCCTGTTCAGAGTGGGAGAAGGAGGGGAAGGGGTCTGGGAATCTGAGTCACCCAGGGCTGGCTCAGACTCACTTTCCCTCCTGCAGCCTTTGGGGTAAGTAGGGCTCGGGGGACTAAGGGGCTGGGGCTTGGGGGGCAGCTGGGGGCCCTCTCCAATAGGGCTGGGAGGGAGCAGGGGGCTATGGGTTGGGAATGAGGGGTACTGGCAGGACTGGGAGAGGGGGTAGCACTGTGGTGGTTGGCTGTGGGTCACGCTGCCAGGGCTGGGGCAGGGGGGGGGGGGGGGCTGCAGGGAGAGCCCGCAGGGCAGGC